TTGCGGTTTATTTCTTCCCGCAGCCTTTCCCTCTCAATGTGAACTGCTCTTTCTAGTTCACTCATCCTTATTGACATTTGCTCGTTTTGTTCTCCTAAACTGTCCACTATGTTGTTTAAGGCTTCCTCTAGTGCTGCCCCGTTATCCACGAGTGGCGTTACTAGTGGTGGTGTAACCCTGTCGGTCCCAGGTAACTTCGTGCTTGTCGAGATCCGGGCCTTGACTCTCTGCTTCAACGTCTTTTCTTTGTTTATTTCAGGATCAATTAACGCGTTGCCGAGCCCTCTGGTTTTATTCTGACCAGGTTGTGGCTCCGAACTTGCTCTAATCGCGAAGTCTTTTGACTGGCCTGGTGTGTTTGCCTCTTTGCTTATCGTTGTCACTACACCAAATTTGTCCATGGTTCCAGTCTCTCTTCCGACGTGTGCCTCACTCTCCTGGATCGAACTATTGAGGCTTACTTGAGATCCAGAGTCCCCTTGCTCCTCTTCATCTTCTTCCTCCTGAGACTCGCCATCGTTTCCTGCTCCTCCTCCCATGCTGAATGGAAAGATGTTTCCGAAGGTGTTCTTCATTCTTTCTGAGAACGATGATGATGTCGTTTGTTTCCCAGTTCCGCTTGCCATCATAGTGTTGTCTGTCGGAGATCTTCTCGTTGCCGCTACCTCAGTTGAGATGTCGGACAGTTCCGACATCTCTTCTCGATCCAATGTCCCGGTGGAAGTGGCAAAATCATGGCCTTGTTCTACCGGGGTAGATTCACTCGCCAGCCTTCTGCCTCTCCCTTCCAGTTCATTTACTTCCTGGTTGTCATTCATGGTATGGTCCGTATTGACCTCCACTTCTAACAGTTCTCTTCGCTCTTCTGAGGTCTTTTGACTTCTCGTTTCAACCATTCTGCCTGAAACCGTCCGCCTTTTGTCAGACCGGGATCGCTTGATCCAATCCACAAAAGGATCGGTCATTGTTTTTCTTTGCTTTTCAGGTATGAATTTCCTAGAGCTATTACCTCGTTTTGGTATCCTTGACTTGTCTAAACTCATTCTCTATTTGTCACTTTCCTATGCCTACTCTTGACTCAATTGCTAGAGACCTTATAGTTTTATTTTGTCTAGAACTGTCCTAAGTTACTTAGTTCAATTGCTATCAACTTTTGGTAGGGGTATAAGGGTTTTTCAGAAAAATTTATAAAACGTGAAGGGTGTACCCCTCCGGATTTGTGTAATTTGCTAAAAACAATCTCAAAAAATTTTCTCGCTCGTTTTTCCGGGAAATTTCCCAATCATGTCAGTAAGCTCAGCTAATCTCTGATCTATTGGTACCAAGATCAACTCGATATGCTCTGTAGTTCCAAAGTTATTAACCAAAACGTCTTTTTTCCAAACTCAAAAATTTTCTCTCTTATAGGTTCCGCCTAACTTTTTCCGCAAATCTGGTCCTTTCGACCTAAAAATTATTGATCTGAGCTCAAAAGGCCTATACTCTTCTAGTTCAATGCAAAAGACCCGATCTAAAACGCTTTTGTAGAAAAAATTTGCGAAAAACTATGCTACCTGGACCCCTCCGGATTGATGAATCCACCAAATCAAACACGTTATGTTCGATTTCTCTGCAACCCGGAAGGCTTTCGGGTAGCGGGTTTTAAAACTCGTAGATTCACTAGTGGACGTTGTCCGAACAACTATTTTTACTGTCCTAACTCAAAGATTTCAAAAAATTTTCTGATTTTATAGTGTTTCTTACTATCAAAAAATGGGAAAATTTGGTTTTTGGTACCAAACTAGTTCCAACCACTTCCGAACTAAAGTTAACCGGTTCTACTTATTACAGTAGTGCAGTTACGATGTAACACACTAATTTAGCGCTTTTTTCTGTTTCAAAAAATATCGATATCTCAAAAATCGCGACTTGTGGGGGGATCAAAATATCGCTATTTTGACCCTAAAAACCGGTCTGTTTTCGTTGTTTTTCACTGAAAAACGATATAAGACTATTAATATAGGCTCTATAAGTAATAATATTAGTATTACTATACCCCTCCGGGTTTGTTTATTATCCGAATTAAGGTGCTTAACTCGGATATTCGCAGTTCGGTGAAGGGTCACTACAGTGCAGCACTGTCGAGCCCCCCACAGATTACTATCTTACTTTTTGTACCAAAAGGGATACAAAACTTGTTAACGATACCCAACAGTCGATTGTTGTTGTCGTTGAGCCCCTTCTTGTTGCTCCTTGTACTGCTTGCCGGATCGGTCTTCACCCAAGACCCTTCCGAATTGAGCGCAAATCAGCTAACCCTTCCGGATTGAGCGCAATTTATCATTACCGTGCTCAAATGCTCAAATAACCCTACAGTACAAGCCTCACAAGCGGGCCACAAAATTGATCGTAACGATCCTGACTGATATAAATGCCTGCAACAACAATATATCTATCAAAAACAAACGGGGGGGTTGAATCACATCTTGTCTGGGGGGATGATTTCTACTGAATTTTTACTTTTTTTTTTTACTGTTTTTGGTTTTTTCGGTTATTTTTTATGTTTTTTGTTTTTCTTGGGTATTATACTACTTTTTGTTTGATTTTACTTATATCTTTAAGTGTTTTTGGTCACCAACCACTCAGGGGACGAGGGGACGGCCGATCCCCCCACCCTTCCTGGTTCGTGAATTTTCAGTCTTAACTAGGTTAAAAAAACTATTCACGGCAACCCGGAAGGCCTCCGCGTTCCGAACTACCCTTCCGCCCCGGCGGTTTTAGGCCTATTAAGGGCGTTAATGTGAGCATCCGCTCGGCGGGGAGTGCTCGTTAACGGTTCCGCCGGTCATGATGTTATAAAAGAATAACACCCAGGAGCGCCATAAAAACATACATGTAACATTCGCCCGGAAGATACATATCGACGGATAACAAAACTAAGTCTAAAGACGCCTGGCTAGCGTCTAAACAGAGCTTTGCATGTTTTTCACCGTCTCTTCCAAGCCAGTACTTTTCGGTGGTCTTTTCTAACATCGGGTCGACAAAAACGTTACTGTTCTCCGGCTTCGACCAGAACGCTCAAATTAACTGATTTACATGCAAAAATAGTGAGCTCATGGCTGGGTCTCAGTATCCCCAGACCACGAGGTCACTCCTAGAAACAGGGCTACTACTTATTATATTACTATTGTTTTTGTTCAGTAGATAAAAATCATCATCTCCATCGAAGATGGATCAACCCTTTCCCCCCCAACTCTTAGCACCTCATCCTTGTCAAAACTAATCCAAATATCAATTAAATTCAAGTCAGGACATGACAGGATGCTAAAAGTTCACACGAGTCAATAAAAGTTTTCCGTCCCGAGACCCTTCCGGATTCTTGAATCCGGTGAATCAAGCCCGTTGATCTCGATTTCTTCCCAATCCGGAAGGCTGGTTTCTTACCCTTCACCGTTGTTCGCAACGGCCTTGCAACTATTGTAGCAGCACAATAGTTGCAACTCGGAACGTTCTCTGCAATCTGCTGCTGTTTTTCAATCACGATTGTCGTTGTTATCGTCAGCGCAACTAATGTTGTTGTGTTTTCTCACACGTTTTTTGTTAAAATGGCCGTTTCAGCATTTCTCAGAAACGTGACGTCATCATTCGAATTTTTGAAATTTTAAAATACTAGAATATTCCAGCCCTCACCGTTTGGCTAAACGTTCCAATAACGCCCTTAGTTCTTAAAAACCACCAATCCGGAAGGCTTACTGCTAAAATTCCGAATTCTGCAGAGATTGCATTTTTCACATTCTGGTCGAATGTCACAGGACGAAACGGAAGTGTAATATTTTTGCCCATACGGAGGGGTTTTATTCTGGCCAACTCGGAAGGGTAATATTTTTGCCAACTTGGAAGGGTCCCAAACCAGAAGGGTCATTTTTGCCAACTTGGATCCCTGAACGCCGCTCCTGAAGGGTCTGAAATTTTACGAACGTAAACGCAGGGATCCTAATACGTACGTATACGAGAGCAAGACTAAGTGGATTAAAATTCGGGTATTAGGACGAATATGCAGATCGAGTAAGAGAGGAAACCAGTGCCTGCACTGGTGTTTTGCCTTTAAGTAAAAACAGAAAGACAACAATAAGACTAGTACGGGTCTAAACCCCGAGAATCGCAACTCTAGGTCTAATAGATAACAGAACAACAATTTTCGCTAATAAAGAACAGATAGAAAACGGACAGCGATATCAGAAAATCGATCGGAATTGTGATTATCGAAGAAGAGCGCTGCGAGTTGTAACAATTGTGCAGTTACAATCGTTTAAGATCAGATCCCGAGAATCAGGAGAGCTGAACGGAGAATTTGCTACCCTTCCTGATTGTGAAGACGACCTCTCTTCATCCGGATTCAGGAATCCGGAGGGGTACCGGAGACCATTTGTGAACATTTATTTTAACAACTTTTAGCTTCCTGGAATGTCCTGATTTGAATTGAATCTACATCTAGTTCATTATCAGAGTATGAGAAGCTAAGAGTTGAGGGAAAGGGTTAATCCATTTCCGATGGATATGATGATTTTACATACTGAACAAAAACAATAGTAATATTTTAATCAAGTTGTAGCCCTGTTTTTAGGAGTGACCTCGTGGTCTCGGGATACTGAGACCCAGCCATGAGCTCACTATTTTGCATGTAACTTGGTTAATTTGAGCGGCTTGGCCGATAGCCTTTAAGTTGAAATGATTGCGTCGACCCGATGTTACGAGAACTTGACATTGAACTGGCTTTGGTAGAGACGGTTAAAAGCATGTGAAGCTGTGTTTAGACGCTAGCCAGTCGCGTAGTAACCTAGCTTTATTTTCCGTCGGTATGTATTTCCGGGCGAATGTTACACAGGATCTGGTTTTGACGCTAGGTTTTTGTTATAGGATTAATTTTTTACTTTACCTCGTTATGTAATCTCCGGGTACATGCTACAAGTGTTCCAGACTTCTGATCGAATGGCTTATTTCACAGTTGATTTTCTCTTTTCAGAGTTTTTGGAATGACGTCTATCGTACCTCCTGAAGAATGTTTTCAGATTTCTCTTTCAATTGACAAAAATCTGATGGGTTATGTGAAAAATACGAATACTCAGCTCTTCATTATGAATGAACTGCTCAGTAAATGTTTGGGAACTTTGTCAGTCCAGATTGTGCGTGCTGATAATCAACAAGAAAGTGAAAATACGATGATCCCAGGAAATTGTGAGTAGTAGTACTAGTAAAAAGTTTTTACTCCTTTTTTGGGGAAATGCAGTATCCACCCTACCCTTCAGTTAAGTTACGTCAGTGCACAAGCTGGATAGGGCTTGTATTAAACGTTCGAATTAGTCGTTCGAAGTTATAGGCAGAAAGAAAAGTTAGCTTTGCTTGCAAGACCTTTTGACTCAAGCACCCTCGTCCCAACTCATCATCTGATTTTTGAAATATATTGCTGAAAGTTCATCAAAGCTTAATACAATTATTTCAATTGGAGACTATTGAAATTGGGTTAATTTTTGGGCTTATCGACAAAACACTAAGAAGCTCGTGGAGTAAGATGTAAGATGACAAAGAAACTTAGTATCCTTTAAGGCGTTGCAGAAAAGCATCCCCGGCGTTACACGAGAGGACCCCTACCTCAGGAATCTGATCTGAAAATTATTCTACGTGGTGTGAGGATTTTTAATTATTAGCTTTTTTTCTTTCGTGAAATTTGGTAGAAAATAGGCAAGAAGGCAGACGATAACGAAATATGATGAAAAATTCATGGTAAGAACTTCTTAGTAGCCTAAGTGCATTGGAAAACTGCCCCTAGAGTTTTCGGACAGAATTGCAAATTTTCGACATGAATAAAAGGTTATAATTTTGTAAAAGTTTCAGTGAAAATCGATTGCGAGAAAGTTTGGACTGCTTAAAGTTATTCCTCCCATAGGTTTTGTAGATTTCGGGGAATGCTTCTCTAGGTTGGTTCTCTCTCTCTTAACGACACTTGCAAGGTGGTACCTTGGATACTAAATTCAGCGGGGTGACCAAGATTCAGTTCTATTCACAATCCCAAAGGGGTTCAGTTGGTGGCAATTATTCTGTACTGTACTATGTTGCCTGCCCTCTTTTGTCACTGCTCTTGTGGCTGCATCGCTCGCACTCACGATCGCAAGAATTTCAAATTGTAATTAAATTCAGAAACTAAAAGTTCAAACAAAGACGGCTCCAAGTGGCCAGAATATAATCTAATGATCTAATCAAAGGAAAGGGTCCGCGATTAATCAGCGCAATTACTTATTTCAATTTAACTTCCAACTAACCCCACTAAACGATTATCTCTATAGAATCCTAATTAACTCGTTAAATCCTAATCACGTAATTAAATAGTTTCAGGTTATTATGAATTGAAAGGGCGGCCGTGGTGGCCCTTACAAGCTCTCTACATCATTCCCTCGAGAAGTGGAGAAACATCAAAGAACGCTTTCGTCTATCCAAACAAGTTATCACGAAGCCTGGTTACAATCTTCACCCCAACACGAAAGACACAAGCAAAATTGTCCAAAATCGAGCAAAATTTATCCCTAAATCAGAAAATCTAATCTTGTGGCACGATATTGTGAACGAGCTGCTCTCAAAGAGGAAAAGAAAAGACAAGAAAGTTGTGAGAAGCTACAGCAAAATCCATCTAGATCCCAATCCGGAGATAAAGACCCCGACATAAGGAAACACGGTAACGACCTAAGATAAAGAAACACGGTAACGACCTAGAAGGAATAATCAAGAAGAAGCAAAGTCCGTCCCAGCAGAAAAGAAGGAAAAACAAAAAGCGAAGAAAGTAAGTTAGTTTGTTGTTAAATTCTGGTTTTCGTGACGAACTTAGTGATTAAGTTTCTGGGTCCTGAACAAGAATCTAATTGATAATTCTTCGTCATGGTAAAGAACTATAAAACGTGTAAAAAGGTTATCCCTACAAATGATAAGTTCTTTTCCTGTGTCTCGTGTAACTCACAAATGCACATGACTCCTGAATAAATTGCTCCGTCACCTACTGCTATAAATTGATTCAAGGAAATAGGATTAAATGCAATGCTGCTATGCAATGCCTGTGTGGAAAACAATGAACGGGACAACTTTATCCGTTGCTGAACTCTCGCGAACGCAAACGAAATGACCGAGAACCTTCACGTTGGTGGTTAGTTGAAAAACATGTAGATGAGACTCACTGACTTAGTCGAACAAAAAAATCAGAAATGCTACGAAGACAACATACGAGAAAGTTGAACCAGCGTACGCTGCCGTAGCCGCCGTAGAAAAATCTACGGGGAGAATGCAAGGGAAAACGAAACATGAAGTGGGATACAGAATAAATCACAACATCAGTCAAAGTTTCAGAATACAAGAGATCCCCAAGGATCCTACTATAACCAAATGAGGAAATCTTGTCCCTACTAACGATGAAGTAACTGAAATACTGAGCCAAATTGGAGTAACACCAAAAGTGCTAGAATCCAAACGCCTAGGAAAGTTTAACGCAGAACACAAAAAAAAACCTAGAACGCTTCTGTAACGTTTTCCAGCGAACATGAAGCCAGACTTACGCTTGCGAAAAGTCATAACGAAGAGAAGTACTATTACAAAAAAATGTGTACATCCTGCCTGCTTTATCAAATGAAGATGCTATCAAAGAAAATCAAATCCTGAAAAGAAGAATGGAGCTTCTGGATGAAGGAGTCCCGCGCGAAAAGCTCAAAATAAGGAACTTGGAGCTGTTTAACGATGGGGTGAGAGTTGAATTTGCCGACAGAACCCTGTCAACATGACAAAGTTTCTTGAACATCTTGCAGCTGAACACAAGAAGCCTCGTTGAAAGAAGAACGAAATTCGCAAATGCAGTAATTGCTTCTGATTATAACGTTATCTGTTTATGTGAAACTTGGCTAAATGAAAACATCGATGAATCAGAACTGCTAAATGAGTATGACATCTACAGAAATGAAAGGGAAATTGTGGTCGACAAAAATTCACACGGAGGAAGCCTAATAGCTATCAAAAATACTATTGTATAAGGAGAAATAATTTCCCCTTTTCCAGATTCATGCGTCTCGTGTAAAGTTAATCTAAACGACTCAGAAGTTATTTTCAGCGCATTCTATAATCTACCAGAAGATAGCAAATGTCGTGACACTATCGAAGACTTCCAAAAACTCCTGAAAAGCATTCCCAAATCAAAACCTGCCTTCATCTGAAGTGATCTAATATTTCTGGAGGCTAATTGGAAAGCATCAGAAAGCCCAAATGAAGATGAAAACTTGATAATTGAGTTGTTTGAAGACGAGCTCTTTTGACAAGCAATTGATTACCCGACTTTCTGTCACAACATTCTTGATGTAGCTTTCTATCGTAACTGCTTTCTTAATGCTTCGGAAAAGCAGACTACGATGGATTAAATTATTACCTGTTGAAAAATCCGTTCGAGCCTATCTGTTATACTAATATCAACAACATGTATGATGAGTTACACCAGTATCTCGACAAAGCAATTGAGATATATGTTCCAAGAAGAACATTGCACAGACAATGTCTTCCTCCTTGAATCTCTAGCTTCACATCAAATTTAATGAAGAAACTGAACACACAGAGAATTCTATCCAAAGTAAAGCCGACTAACTATAGAAGACAACAAGTAATAAAATTGGAAAATTTAGTTAAAGAATCGTTGGAGCAAGATAGGGAAATCTACCAGAACAAACTGCTTCACTCCAGAAATACAGGTCTAAATTTTCAAACACTTATAAAGTCTAACGAAATTTTCCAGTCCACCAAAAATTCTGATTAAGAGTGAATCGCAGTGTACCATTCTCAACAAAAAGGTCGACATGCTGAACGAGTTCTTCCATTCAGTGTTTACTCCAAAAAAAAACATTCAGTATAAAAGATGTGGAAACTGAGAATCCAACATGAACAAGTTTCAACATCTCTAAAACGACAATTCACTTCATTGTATCCTCGCTAGATAATACTATTTCTCGTGGTCCAAAGGTTTTGCCACCTGCCTTCTTCTAAATAAGAGCATAAAGAGAGTCCGTAAGATACCTGACAAATGGAAAGTTGCTGCTGTAACCCCAATCCACAAAAAAGGAGACAGACGAAGAGTAGAAAACTACCGACCAGTCTCACTCGTAGACATCGATAGCAAACTTAGTCGAACAAAAAAATCAGAAATGCTACGAAGACAACATACGAAAAGGTTGAACCAGCGTACGCTGCCGTAGCCGCCGTAGAAAAATCTACGGGGTGAATGCAAGGGAAAACGAAACATGAAGTGGGATACAGAATAAATCACAACATCAGTCAAAGTTTCAGAATACAAGAGATCCCCGAGGATCCTACTAAAACCAAATGAGGAAATCTTGTCCCTACTAACGATGAAGTAACTGAAATACTGAGCCAAATCGGAGTAACACCAAAAGTGCTAGAACCCAAACGCCTAGGAAAGTTTAACGCAGAACGGAAAAAACCTAGAACGTTTTCCAGTGAACATGAAAACAGACTTACGCTTGCGAAAAGTCATAACGAAGAGAAGTACTATTTCAAAAAAATGTGTACATCCTGCCTGCTTTATCAAATGAAGATGCTATCAAAGAAAATCAAATCCTACCAGAACAAACTGCTTCACTCCAGAAATACAGGTCTAAATTTTCAAACACTTGTAAAGTCTAACGAAATTTTCCAGTCCACCAAAAATTCTGATTAAGAGTGAATCGCAGTGTACCATTCTCAACAAAAAGTTCGACATGCTGAACGAGTTCTTCCATTCAGTGTTTACTCCAAAAAAAACTTTCAGTATAAAAGATGTGGAAACTGAGAATCCAACTTGAACAAGTTTCAACATCTCTAAAACGACAATTCACTTCATTGTATCCTCGCTAGATATTACTATTTCTCGTGGTCCAAAGGTTTTGCAACCTGCCTTCTTCTAAATAAGAGCATAAAGAGAGTCCGTAAGATACCCGACAAATGGAAAGTTGCTGCTGTAACCCCAATCCACAAAAAAGGAGACAGACGAAGAGTAGAAAACTACCGACCAGTCTCACTCATAGACATCGATAGCAAAGTTCCTGAGAAATCTATATACATTACACTCTATGAATACTTCTGTCGTTACTTAACACCGCACCAACATGGATTTGTCAAAAACAGATCTGTTTTGACGAATATGTTGTAATTTCTGCAGAAGA